AGTCCCATTTGCCAGCATTTGGCCCATATCCACAGCTGAATTACTGTAGGAGTGGCACTTACTCAAATTCCACTTTGTTCCTTTAACCATTGATTGGAAACAAAGTCTTCTGGCTTTATGACTGCAGTCAGAAATACATTGGGCCAGTGGGTAAACATGCTCTGACACCCCCAAACTGCATGGGAAGATCGAACTCACAGCTGGACGGGCGTGGGCCATCAGAGGACAGTCACAATCTCCCCCCACACCCCCACCCCCATAAACAGAATGGAAGGGCGTGGTGCATTTGGGGAAAGGTTGTGGGGAAAGGTGGGGGCAGGGAGGGAGGACAGAAGGTGATGAGATGGAGGGTGGTGAGACAGGGGGAAAGGGGGTAGAGGGGAAAGTGGAGAAGGAGGAGAGGAAGGGGACGGGGAGGGAAGCGAGAGAGCGAGAGAGAGAGAGAGAGGGAGAGTGTTGGGGGGGAAGGGGAAGAGAGAGGGGTTAGAGGGGAAGGAGAGAAAAGGAGAAGAAGGGGGAGGGGGAGAGAAAGGAAGGGGTTGGAGAGGGAGGAGAGAGGGCGACTGATGGGTTAAGAGGTGTAGAGAGGAAATAGGAGGAGAAGGCAAGGAAGGGGGAAGGGAAGGGGGACGGAGAGGGGAAAAGGGTGGGGGTAGGAAGATAGGGGAGGGGAGAGGGAGGGAGGGACAGAGAGACAGAGAGGGAGGTGGAGGGAGGGAGGGAGGGAGGGATGGAAGCGAACGGGGTGTGAGGGTGCCAAATGGAGAAAGAGGAGGTGCAGGAAGGTGTTTGAGGGGAGAGTATCAGAGGAGCTGTAAATGAGGGGGAGGCTTGGAAGAGGAGGATAAAGGAACTGGAAAGGTGGGACAGAGACTGGGAAGGGGACAGAGAGGCTGCAAAAAGGGGAAGTGAGTCCACAAATGGTGGAAAGTGTCTGAAATGGGAGAGTGAGACTACAAAGGGAGAACACAGGTTAAATGTTTCAACAAAGAAATGCTCATCTAACTGGGAACAGGAATACTGAGATCATGAATATCTGCAAATTAATGTAGAATGTCTAGAATTAAAGCTGCAAGAGTTTGGGAGCTTTTATATGGGAGTAAATGTAATAGATGATATTGTAATTAATGTTCTGCAGTTGTAGAAATTAATGTGAAAGTTTTATTTAATAAGAATTTGCATTTATGTGTTATCACATCTCAAAATGTCTTACACATGAATTATTTGAGGTACAGTGAATGCATAAGAGACAAAATGCAACAATTTTCACTGTGATCTCACTAGTACATGGAAGTATGTTTAGGATGATGGCTTTTGTGTATAGAAGTGAGTCAGTTATCTTTTAAAAAAAATTGCTAACTAATGCCTGTTGTTTCGTGCCAACCTAAATACTCTGGCATCCCATAAATTAATGCTTTCCTTGTCTGTTTTGGCTCGAGGTTTAATGGAGTAGAGATAATTATTGGGGATATCAATTAATTTTTCTAATTTTGCTTCTGTGAGAATCTAAATCCCTGATAAATCAGACACCACAGAAAAGCAGAAGTTATTGTTACTAGGTGGCTCTATCACCTAATAAAGTAATCCACGAGTCCTCAAAATCATAAAGGAACCGCCCAAAAATCAAAAATAAGCCCTTCAGAAAATTTCAAGGAGAGCCCTCAAAAAAAGTTTTGAGCCCTGTCAGAATAAGCTAAGGTGAAGTCACCACTTCCCACTTTCTTATTAGAGAGAAACAACTGGTTGTGAGTCCAACCTCAGGGTCACCACACCTCGAGCATGGAGTGATCTTGTGCAGGCAATGAGCACGGTCATTCCAGCCAATGCAGGAATTCAACCTGTGTTAGTGGCATCACTCTGCATCTCAAACCTGCTGTCCAGCTAACTGAGTTGATCTCCATGGTGACACACTGACAGTTCTGGCCATTTTTACCAAAGGATGCAGAGTTACCCACTCCCACAAGGTAATGAGCTGATTGGGTTCATTAGGAACATTGAGATAAACCCCCCATCCCTGTCAGAGTCCATACAGTCAACTAAAGTAACAGACCTGTCAGCAGCAACAAAGGGGCTTTCAATTTGGCTACAGTTACTTTCAACGGAGTATTGATTTGATTTTGGCTTGCTCTAGTGGCAAGAATTGTTGGCCTAATTTACCTTTGTCTTTTTTTAAATAACAAGCAGCTCTTGATAGAGGCAAAGGAAATGATCCACAAGTGCAAACATACTTGCTGTTTGATTGTGGGAGGGATGAGGAACTGTAGGTAACATCACAACAGATCTGATTGGTCATCAAACACTTGGACGTTTGGCAAAGGCTGTTCCTTTGGACTTAGTCTCTCTGATCGTCAGCAATGAGTGAGTTGCTACAGCTCGGATTGGGCTGGAGTCCCAGATTTAATTCCCTGTTCTCTGTTGAGCTCATTGATATCAGCGAAGTTGGGGAGAAATATCAATTGTATTGTTACCTTGAGGCAGGGAGCAAACCATGGTGATGCGGACAGGATTAAAATCAACTGGTCTGCTCCAAAACCTTGCGGAGGCTGCTGCAAGAGGGCAATAGTCACTATTTGGGATTTTCACAGACAAAACATCTGAATTGACATGGAGACAGGTTCCCTGTCCAATTAAGTCTGGTAGTGGTTCAAAAACATAAGGCCAGACTGAGACGAACAGCAGTTGTAAATGGAGGCTGAGAAGTGGTTTGAACATGCTGGTGCTCACGCAACAACTTTCCGGAAATCTTGAAGTGAAGGTAGTTCTTGCAGATAGGACACTACCATCAGAATTCAGAGGCTGGTGGAGAAAGTGGGAGAGCTGGCTATCTGTCCTGCTGTCTGGGTACTCCTCTGCCCCTGCCAGTTCAGAAAACTGAAGATAATGATGTTCCCGATGAACCCTATCAGCCGTTTACTTTGTGGGAGTGGGTAACTCTGCTGGGGGAAAGCACCCTTTGGTAAAAATGGCCAGAATTGTCAGCGAGTCACCATGGAGATCAACTGCAGTACTTTCGAGCTCCAGACACCTCCATGTAGCATCCAATGGAGACTCAAATATCCAGTTCAGCCAAGGTGTGTGTAGTCAAAGCAAAACTTGAATTTATATAGTGCCTCAGGCAGCCCAAAACACTTTACAGGCCATGGAGTCCCTTTGACATGCCATCGTTGTCATAATGTGGCTGAGGAAAGGCAATGGAATCCGTACCTCAGGAAGAGTTGGTTCCTGCGGGATGGATCGGACTGGGGGGGGGGAAGAGACAATTGGAAATAGGTTTTAATGAGATGGCCAGTTTGTAGACCCTGATGGTGAGAATCAAAAGAAGAAAAATTGGAATTCAGAAGGAGATTCTACCCTGAAATGCAAACCTGCTGCTTCTGAATAGCCTGCTGCTCACTTGCTGCATTTTCTGATTTTAACACAGAAGAAAATCTCTCTCTGAAAGGCAGGCTATGTGCTGACAACCCGGCCTTGGACTAATCACATATCGATGACATTGCTCTGTGGCCGATCGCCATTTTGAGGCCCCTTACCTTGTGCTGCTTAATGACTTTGTTGAGTCTCTTCTCTTGTTCGAGGCGTGACTGTGTTCGCTCCATGGACTCTCGGATCAGTTTGTTCTCCTCAATCTGTCGCTGCAGTTCCTCCTGCAAGCTCTCCACATTGGCCTGGCACTTATGTCGAGTGACCTCTGACCGTCTGCTGACACCAAAGTGACAGGAGGGAAGTGTAAGCAGTCTGGAGGTTATCAAAGCAGCCACTCCTGCTCTTGGGGGAAGCTTTCCTTCTTATTCCAACTGGGAAACAGGTGTAGGACTAAGGACGCTCTTCCACCCAATGCCTGTACAAATCATAGCCAAGGTTGAAAAAGGGAGGGAATGGAGTGTGAGGTCAATTAGGAAGAGGAGATGAGGTAACACCAAGCCTGGCTTTTGAAGCCCATGAATTGGTTGTCCCGTTATAGGCCTGTTATTAAGCTGGAGAAGGTTCAGAAGAGATTTACCAGGATGTTGCCAGGAATGGCAGGTTTGAGTTACAAGGAGAGGCTGGATAGGCTGGGACTTTTTTTGCTGGAGCATAAGAGGTTGAGGGGTGACTTTATAGAGGTTTATAAAATCATGAAGGATAGAGATAAGGTGAACGGCAGGTGTCTTTTCAAGGGGCATTTCAATATAAAGGGGCATATTTTTGAACTGAGAGGAGAAAGATTTAAAAAAAGACATGAGGGGTAACATTTTTTACACTGTTTTTTGTGGAATGTACTTTCAGAGGAAGTGGTGAATGTGAGTACAGTTACAATGTTTAAAAGACATTTGGAAAAGTTCATGAATAAGAAATGTTTGGAAGGATGTGAGCCAAGTGTAGGCAAATGGGACAGGTTTAGTTTGGGAACGTGGTCGGCATGGACTGGTTGGGCCAAAGAGTCTGTTTCCGTGCTGTATAACTCTATGACTCCATAAGGAATATTGGGAACTGGCACTTGAGGTTGCATTTCAGCGAGGTTGCATTTCAGCAAGTTAGCAGAACCTGGAGATTGCTCCTGGGTCTTCATCATTAGCAATGGTACAGTAAAATATTCAATTCCATTGGCTACTCCTCAGATACTGAAGCAGTCTGAGCCTGCAGGTTATAAGGCTTGGACAACATTAAGACTTGGGCTGATTAGTGGTTTGTAACATTCAAGTGTCAGGCAATAACCATCTTCAGCAAGAGCAAATCTAACTATCGCCCCTTCACATTCAGTTACAATACCATGATTGAATGTTCCCACTACCAACATCTGTGTTCACTATTGACCAGAAACTGAACTGGATCAGCCATATATAATTTTCTCTTGATATTCAATGGCTTTATCATCACTGAATTCCCCAATGTTAACATCTTGGTCCCACTGTTAACAGCTTGGTGGGAAGTGTCACTATTGATCAGAAACTGAACTGGAGCAACCAGATAAGTATGGGTTGCTGTAAACAATTTTTTTCAGGGTGAACTGGGCTGTGTTCCAGCTTTTGACATCTGACATTTGACATCTTCCTGTGATCAAGATAACCCAGAGAAAACACAGAATGCTAAGTTTAACATGGGGATTGTGAAGGGTCTAAGTGATCTTGGGTAGTGTCATGGAGGGGAAATGGGGGTCTGAAAGATTGAAAGGACTTTTTAATTCATTCGTGGGATGTCGCTGGCTGGCCAGCATTTATTACCCATCCCTAGTTGCCCTTGAGAAGGCAGTGGTGAGCTGCCTTCTTGAACCGCTGCAGTCCACCAACTGTAGGTTGACTCACAATGCCATTAGGGAAGGAGATCCAGGATTTTGATTCACAGACAGTGAAGGAACGTCGATATATTTCCAAGTCAGAATGGAGTGGCTTGGAGGGGAAATTGCAAGTGATGGCATTCTCATGTATGAGATGCCCTTGTCCTTCTAGATGGACGTGGTTGTGGGTTTGGAAGGTGCTGTCTGAGGATCTTTGGTGAATTTCTGCAGAGCATCTTGTAGATAGTACACACTGCTACTACTGAGCATCAGTGGTGGAGGGAATGGATGCTTCAATCAAGTGGACTGCTTTGTCCTGGATGGTGTCAAACTTCTTGAGTGTTGTTGGAGCTGCACTCATCGAGGCATGTACGTTCCAGCACAGTCCTGATTTGTAGATGGTGGACAGGCTTTGGAGAGTTAGGAGGTGAGTAACTCCCCTCAGTATTCCAGCCTCTGACCTGCTGTTGTGGACACTATGATTATGTGGCAAGTCTAGTTGAGTTTCTAGTCAATGGTAACCCCAGGATGTTGACAGTCGGGGATGTAGTAATGGTGGTGACACCATTGATTGTTGAGGGGTGGTGGTCATTGTCTGGCATTTATTTGGCGCAAATGTTACTGTACGTTTGCCTACACAATACTCTAAGTGCAGCCTCACCAACAACTGTAACATAATGTCCCAACTCCTACACTCAATTCCTCGACCAATGAAGGTCAGCATGCTAAATGCCTTCTTCACCACTTTGTCCACCTGTGACGCCGCTTTCAATGATCTATGTACTTGTATTCCTAGGTCCCTCTGTTCCGCAACACTCCTCAGGACTTTACCATTTACTGTATAAATCCTACCTTGGTTTGACTTTCCAAAGTGCAACACCTCAGACTTATCTGTATTGAATTGTATTTGCCCGTCCTCAGCCCACTTCCCCATCTGATCAAGATACCTCTGTAATTTTTGATAACCTTCCTTGCTATCAGCGATTCCTCCTAATTTTGTATCATTCGTAAACTTACTAATCGTGCCTTGTACATTCACATCCAGGTCATTTATGTAAATAACAAATAACAAAGGTCCCAACACCGACCCCTGTGGCATACCTCTAGTTATAGGCCTCTGGTCTGAGAAACAACCTTCGACCATCACCCTCTACTTCCTACCATCGAGCCAATTTTGAATCCAATTAGTTAGCTCTCCCTGGATCCCATGCGACCTAAATTATTATTAGGGCAGATGACCAAAAAGCTTAATCACAAAGGTAGGCTTTAAGAAATGTCTTAGAAGAGGAGAGAGTGGAAGAAAGATCTAGGGAGGGTGTTTCAGAGCTTCAGGCCTTGATAATTAAAGGTATGGCCACCAATGGTGGAACAACTGAAATTGAGAATTATCAGGAAGAGGCAGAATTTGACAGTTGCAGAGTTTGTGGGGTGGAAGAGAGTATAGAGATAGGGAAGGTGAAGCCATTGAGGTACTGGAAAACAAGGATGAGAATTTTTAAATCGAGGCTTTGCTTAACAGAAAACCAATGTCTATGCATGAGCACCCAAGCGATGACTATCGCTGACAGGTTGATATGGAGAAGGTCAATGTTAGATGAAATGGTACTGAATAGCCTCCACTGCACTGCAGGGATTCTATGAATCTATGATACTGCACATAGGAAGGGAATAAGCCTTATATACATTTGGTGAAAGATGAAACTGAAAAGATACCTGGCATCCCAGAAGACTTGACTCTAAATATGTTATTGCAGCGCAACAACCAACAGAGACAATAGAATATGGTATGACAGACTTCAAATAGCTAAATACAAATGCGAGAAGGTGATGATGAAAACATGTATTGCTCTAGTTAGGTAGATCTTTTGGCATAGCGTCCAACTTGGTTGCCAAGCCATGGGGAGACATTCAAACATTAGAAGCAGTGCAGAGAAGAAAGTATTTGCTTGGGTTTTTCCACGTACCTGAGCTGCAGCAGGTCACTCTCGTATTCCCCCAGCAACTCGTCTTTCCTGTATAGTTGACTCTTCAGTTGAGCAATTCGGCTGTTCAACAGCTCCAGGTTCCTTTGCCGTGCTTTTCCAAGCTTCTCCCTCTCATCCCGGGGAACATGTTTCAAAGAGAGTGACCCAGAAAGTTCCTTCACGTCAAGCAGGCTGGAAAGAGCCTTCACCAGGTCCAGATACTACATGATGGGAAAGAGAAAAACAAAAAGTGGACTTTTGTGTCCAGGTCCACAAATGTCAAAGAACCTAATGCACAGGTTCATGAAGTAACCAAATAGGCTGAATATGTCTTGTCGTTGCCCTCAAAAGATCTGGGATACAAAGGGAAGGGAGTAATGTTTTTGTCGTATAGTACAGAGTCTTGCTTATAAGTATACAGTGGCCTTGGGGGTCATACGATATAAGACTCTCCAGAATGGCAGTAAAATGTTCAATTATGAGGAAGGGTCAGCAAACTTCACTTCTATTCCTATGCACTTCAAAGCTTGACAGATGATTAATGATGGAGGAACTTGATGTATTAAATATGGAGAAACTGTTACTTCTGCTGAGGAATCTAGGACAACAACATAATCCTAAAATTAGAATAAGCCATTCAGGAGAGAAATCAAGAAGCACTTTTTCACGCATACAAGGGATCATGGAAATTCTCTCCTCAATTGTTGTTGCTGAGGGTCAATTGAAATGTTGATGATTGAGAGTGAGAACTTTTTGTTAGGTCGGAGTATCGGGAAAACAGATCAAAGGTAAATAAGTGGAGTTAAGATTCAGATCAAGCAGGATTTTGTAGAATGGCGCAGCAATGTTTGTGGGGCTGAATGGTCTTCTCTTGCACCCTCTTACCATGAGTAAAATATCTCCTGACTCAGGTAGGTATAGAGCCACAACCAGTCTGAAGGATATCCTAGCTAAATGTGGCCAAATATCATAGAATGTTTACAATGTGGAAGCAGGTCATTTGGCTCATCAAGTCACACCGACCCTCTGAAGAGCATCCCACCCAGACTCGCTCCATCCCTGTACTTCCCATGGCTAATCTACCTAGGCTGCACATCCCTGGACACTATGGGCAATTTAGCACAGCCAATCCACCTAAACTGCACTTGAAAGGACCATCTTGTAAGTGGAATGAACTCCTAGAGGAAGTGGTAGATGCAGGTACAGTTACAACATTTAAAAGACATTTGGACAAGTACATGAATAGGACCAAACACAGGCAAATGTTACTAGTTTAGTTTGGGAATATGGTTGGTGTGGTCAGTTGGACCGAAGAGTCTGTTTCCGCGCAGTATGACTTTATAACTCTATAACTCTATAAGAGTGACAATGTGAAAATTGGATTGACATTTTTGAGTTTTGTTTGATTTTTTTTAAGGTCACAAGGAAAGCACAGGCAGCTTTTCCTCAGATACTTAAACATCGGGGGAAGGCCTGTGGTGGGACAGAGAGAAGGAGGTTTAATGAAAAGCCTTCTCCCATTCTTCCAGTCAGAAATGTTCTGAATTTATGAAAGAATTTTAAGGGCGTTTTTCTCAGACCTTGTGAAAAAATATAATTTGTAGGATCATTGGGTATTCATGATGATATTTTGTTGCAAATTGTTTTTCATAAATTTGGCAGGTTTTGTTGTTCCATGCTGTGGACAGTGGCTGGGATGTGGCGTGTGCACTGATTCTCTGTTTTCATGTCCTGTATCTTTTGGCTCGGTTGCTAATCACAGCTAAGACAACAATATTGCAATGGGCAAGGCAAGGAGACAGAATTATTTCAGCCAATGCAGGGATTGAACCCACTCTGTAGCTGTTATTTTACAGTACAATCCAATCCATTGAGTAACACACCCCTTCTCTCCCCATGCAGGAGTAATGATAAGATATCCTTTACTGTCATACTCTGAAGAGTAAATGTTAAACCTCCTTTCCAGTGCTGGGGTCTACATACCGTCCTCTCACTGAGGTCCAGGGCCTCGGACATTTCCAACCGTGCTGTCCTATCAATGAAAGCTTCAGAATTGGCGAAAGAATCCTTTTGCTTCTACAATCGAGAAAGCAGCCTATTACAATTGTGCACTTCACGTTAAATTATACAGAATTTAAAACACAGAAACAAGACATTCAGCCTAAATGGGCTGCAGCAGAATTTGTACAGCACACACCTACCTTACTTCATTCAACTATAACAACATTACCTTCCTCTCCCATCTGCTTACCTAGCTTCTTCCTCAATACATCCATGCTAATTGCCTCCATTCCTTAATGTAGTAGAGAGTTCCATATTCTCACTTGCCTTCGGATAAAAAGGTTTCTCCTCAATTTCATACTGCGCTTATCACGGATTGTCTTATACTCACAACCTTGATGTGCCTGTTGAAGATGTTTTAAGAATTTGAGAGCCATCAAGTGCCTCCATGGCGGATGACAGCACTAATGTTCATTCAGTCTGATCTGAAAGCAAAAACAGCCAATAAAGACAGAAAGTGCTGTAGAAACTGGCAGCTTCTGTTGAGAGAGAGAGACACAGTAACAGAATTAATGCTTTGAGTCCAATAACTTTTCTTTGGAACTGAAGAAGAATCACATTGGAACACTAACTCTGTCTCTCTCGCTCTCTTTCTCCACAGATGCTGACAAACCTACTGAGTTTCTCCAGCACCTCCTGTTTTTATTTCAGATTTCCAGCACCTGCAGGTCTCTTACTTTTATTCCAGGGAAAGACACAACACTTGGCTCAGGGCAGGAACCGCCTGTGGGACTGTTCATCACCAAGAGTGGCAGGAAGGGAGGAAAAGTGGGATAAAAATACATTGTAAAACTGTGTGATAAAGGAGATTCTTAAAAACAAGGGAATGTAGGCCTGGTGCTCTGAGCACAAATTGATGCTGGTTCGGAGATTAGCATGGGAGTCAGAATCAGAGAAATTCAACAGATATTGGTAGGAAAGCCATTCCAACATCACAGGAACATCCTCCATAGGCCCAGGTTATCCAGCAGCTGGGCCATAAATCCTGGTGACAGCTGACACAACCATTACTGCAAGAGGACACACACAGAATTCAATGCAATGAAACTGGAGGTAATGTTGCTGAGTGAGTGACTATCAACTACGTTTCCCAGCAATACAATCGAAATGATACCATACATAAGACTGCTAAATAAGGAAGCAGCTATGGTGTCGGAGGTAGTAAATTAACTTGTACGGAGGATTGGCGAAAGAAGAGAAGACATATTCAGGATGGCATCCTGTAACAGGCATCAGTGCTGGAGCAAGAATTATTTCCAATATATATTAATGATCTGAGTGATTAAAGTGAATGAACAACAGCCAAAAAAAGGTGGGAACACAAGTGGTGAGGATGACACGGAGAGCCTGCCAGGGGACATAGGCAGGTCTGGTGAGTGGGCAAAAACTAGGCAGATGGAGTACACTGTGGTAAAATGTGAGGTTATGCACTTTTGCATAAAGAATAATGGGGCTGAATATTGTTTAAATAGAGAAAGCTACACCCCAAAGGGATTTGGGAGTCCTTGTGCATAAATCTCAAAACGTTAGCTGACAAGTTCAGCAGGTAATAGGGGAAAGCAAATGGAATGTTGGCCTCTATTTCAAAGGGAATGGAGTATAAAAGTAGGGAAGTCTTGCTAAAATTATGCAAGGCACTAATCAGATCACACTGTGAACATTTATTTAAGGAAAGATGTACTGGCATTGGAGGCAGTCCAGAGAAGATTCACTGGTTTCATCCTATGTAGGGAGGGACTGTCTTATGAGGAGAGGTTGAGTAGTTTGGGCCTGTACTTATTTGAATTTAGAAGAATGAAATATGACCTTATTGAAATGTACAAGATTCCAAGGGGACTTGACAGGGTCAAGGGTCAAGGGTCAAGTAAGGGTCCCTCAGTTAGGACAGAGATGGGGCAGAATTTCTTCTTTCAGAAAGTGATGAATCTGTGGAATTCTTTAACTCAGAGAGCTGGGGAAGCTGGGGCTTTAAGCATATTCAAGGCTGAGATAGTTTTTTAATCAGGAAAGGATCGAAGGGGTATGTGGAAAAGGCAGGAAAGTGAAGTTGAAGATATCAGATCAGCTACAATCACATTGAATAGCAGAAACAGTGGGCTGAATGGCTGAATCTTATGGTCTAATTTAAAGGGAGTGCAGGAACACAAAGACCTGGGGATACAAGTCAACAAATTTTTGAGGCTGGTAGGACATGGCTGTTAAACGTGAGCCTTGGCTGTATAAATAGGGGTAGAGCACAAAATTATTCCTTCAGGCATTCCCCTTGCTTCTCAGGCACAGTGGACTTGCAGAAACTACAGTTATCTCTGTCAGTGCTCGAGGCTTAGTGGCCATTTCCATGATGAGCCCATGCTTTATGATTTAGAGGCTTCACGTTATGTCCTCATCCTCATTCTGCTCACACCAGCAGCCTCGAAATATTGGAGCAGGGCAACAAAGTGTTGGCTTTGACCTTTAAACAAAAACATGTCCTACATATTCCTGAAAAAGAAAGCTTTGCTTTTGTTTGCTCAGTTCTGGTGAGTAGGCATGGTTATACAACAACAGCAGTAGATTCTCCCTGGGATGTGGGAGTGAGTATCTGAGTAACTATATGTTTTGGAGTCTAGAAGAATGAGTGGCGATCTCATTGAGACAAACAAGCTTCTAAGGAGTTTTTACAGGGGAGACAGTGAGAGACTGTTCCTCTGGTCAGGGAATCTAAAACATGAAGGCACAGTCTTAGGATACGGACAGATCATTTGGATTGAGATAAGGGGAAATTATTTCACTCAAGGATCATGATTCTCAATCCTCTGCCTCAGAAGATTGTGGATGTTTATACTTATGGCCAGGATTGACAGATCTTTGGTATCTCAGGGATTTCCAGGATGTGAGGAGCGGGCAGGAAGTTGGAACTGAAGCCCAAGATTAGCCGCAATTATTTTAAAAGGTGGAACAGGTTTGATAGGCCAAATGGTCTACAACTTCTCATGTTCTGTCAATTGATTTGACCTGTGGTTGTGAGGTTTCCAGCTAGTGTTAGAAACCTTGGGTGAGGAAGGTTCCCCTGAGCCCTCCACTGTTTGCCTGTGAACATCAGACAGTATTGAGCTGAAGTTACTGAAAAGGACAGCACTTGTTACCCATCCCTAAATCCCTTGCACTGAGTGACTGGCTAGGGCATTGCAGAGTGCAATTAAAACAGAATCACATTATTGTAGGCCAAACCAGATGAGGACAGCAGATTTCCTTTCCTAAAGGATGTGAGTAAATTCGATGGGTAAGACAATCAATATCAGATTCGTTACTAAAATTAACTGTCAATTCCAGATTCTTATCATGTGAATTTAATTCCCACCAGCTGCTGTAATCGGATTTGAACCAATGCATCTAGGGCTGTCTGGATTTCCTAGTGCAGTGACACTAGCATGAAGCCACCATCTCCCCCACAGCTGGATTGCTTCCTGTTCTTTACTTGTCTGTGTGCTTACTGTAGCAGCTCAGACCTTGAGGAGGTACTACAGGATAACTGGTGACTGTGAGGGCAAACTCAGCAACAAGTCACTGTATGCAGAACAGGAAGGGAGAGATAACAGGGCAGATCTAACTGAAAATCGAACCATTTTAATTTCTGTTCTGGGAAGTTTCAACAAAACAGCCATCATGTAATTCCGCAGAATGAATTGTTAGAGATCTACAGCAGGAAGTGCCAGAGAGCAAGTCATTTAACAACCTAGTAAGAGCAATTGAATGTGGGGACTAAAATTGCACTGTTTTGACTGAACAACCCATATCAGATTTGTGAACTGACACTTCATGCCAGTGAGAAGCACTTTGTTAGATCGGTATTGATCCAGTAGTTGGAGCCATAGAGGCAGCAGCTCACCATGGGCTAAGAAAGCTTGTGGTCCAGGCATTTTGTCCCCACCCCCCCAAACGGTTTAACTCATGTGTATTAAGACTGAGAGTGCCAGCTATCCCAGTTTTGTCCCCAGTTGCAAGTTCAAGCCCCACTACAGAGGGCAGGCATGTGCCCAGGTTAACACCCTAGTGCAGCTCTGGGAGAATGTTGCACTGTTGGAAGTGATGCCTATCAGACAAAACATTAAACTGTGATACTGGTAACTTTCTCCCATTATTCTGGGTGTTAAAGAAGCAATGGTGCTATTTGATGATCCAATAACCCCATTGATGTCATAGAACAGAATGAACAGAGATTTACAGAACAGAAGGAGGCGTCTGGCCCTTTGCTGAGTCCTACATTCCCACCTTTTGTCCAGAACCTTTTAAGGTCCTCACTCAAGTGGCTGACCAACTCCCCTTTAATATAATGTCTGGAGTCAATTTCCACCAGCTTTCCAGGCAGAATGTTCCAGATGCTGGCCACCTAGAGACAACCGTAGTAAATAAGCTGTGACAGGAATGTGAGAGAAAACTATCAGATGCTCTACTATGTCAGTCTTCCTTTCCACTTTGTCTTGTGGGGAATCATAACTGGAGCGGATCATGTCCCCACACTTTGTAGCAGTGCCATTGGAGAGCAGTCAATAAGGGGATGTCTCATTGTACAGCGCCTAATGCTCCTGGCCTGGGTCAGCCAAGTCAGCACTAATGGGGGATCGAACCTTGAACCTTCTGGTCTGTAGGATTCAAAGGTGGTTCACCCATGGGAACTTCTGCCCCAGCCTTTGGGTTAGTGGCAGCATTCCTGCTTTTGTGAGGCAGAAGATGCAGAGTTTGAAAAGGAGAATAGAAGATGCCAGAAATGCTCAGCAGGACTGGCAGGATCTGTGGAGAGAGAAAAACAGAATTTACCTTGACCTGAAATGGTAACTCTGCATCTGTCTGATCCTTGCTGCCAGACATGCTCAGCATTTGTGGACTTTCCTTTATTTCTGATTTTGGAATTCCAAATCCACAGTAACGATCCGCAGTTTGAATCTTGCTCCATACAGCACAGGTGAGTGAAGTTGAGAGCTCTGCTTCTGCATTCTGAGTGTATTCTGCATTCCCAGAGAGATACTTGTGTTTGG